CTATGGAAGCACTTACATAGGGCATCCAAACCGAACTTCGATGATCAAGGAAATACTATAGAAATATTATCTAACAGCTGCTTCTAGTTACTTCCTCTAAATCATCCTACACACTACAGCCAGATTTAAAGTTTTAAAAACTGCTATGTACATCATGGTAGAACATTAAAAACCCCTTAACGTTTCCTAACACTTCTAGGAGGAAGTCCCAAATTCCATAACTTCTCTATATGTTAGCCTTTCTTCTTTGTCTAGCTAAGTTCTGTCCTTCCTTCAAGGCTCAGACCAGGTCTCAGGTTTTCAATGCAGCATTCTTCCATGACCCTAGCCATGAGAGCCTGAACTCCTGTAGAATCTATCATATTACATATTTGCCACTTATTTGGCGTTTAGCGCATATAATTCAAGAATTCTTGAGTGTTTGCTCTGTGCCAGACCTTGTGCTAGACACTGGATATAAAAACAAAGATACAGTATAGTCCCTATACTGATGAATTAGCCAGAAGAAGCTATGAGAGCTTCTAAATTCCTTAGGGGAAGAGACCATGTTTTATGCCTTTTTGTAGTCCCCGTATCTCAGGGTATAAAAAACATGTTTCTTGATATTTAGGAAGAAGAATGGCCAGAAACCTCCTGGGTCCACCCCAATCAGGACCTGAAGCAGTTCCAGGTGATAGCTGGGAACAATGCATAACAGTATCGTTCTGAAACCTTGTTTAAAAATTATTTTTAATGTATACATGTAGCTATAATACAAGTTCCTTTAAAAACACCAACTATGAGAAATACTTGTACATTGGTAATAGTGTTATGTTTAGTTGTCCTATTAGCAGCATTTTGCAGAGACAAGCTTATCTTAATCCAAGGTAATTTCTTGTTTAGGCTGTTCACCAGAGCATCACTATAACCTGGAGGCAGTATAACCCAGGAGACTCCAATTATAAGATCAACTTTTCAGGATAACAAAGACTTAATCTGCAAACAATAAGTGACTAGTACACCACAATAGCTAGCATTTATGGGCTGCCATTATAGTCTAATGGTTTTTCATTTTTTACAAAAGTTAATATCTTAAATTTATTACTGCTTGGAAGTTTTCAAAGAGCTTGCATATACATTGTATCTCATCTGATCCTTACACAAATCTTGATATTCTCATTTAATAAATGATGAAATAGAGGCCAAGAGAAGTTAAAGTGATTTTTCCAAAGTCACACAGTTATGATGAGAGCCCATGTCTAGTTGTTTTCCCCTCCTACTGCATTAAGCTGGCCTTTAGGGCCAGCTCTGTAAAGAGGCAGCTATTGTTAAACTACTCCTAGGGCAGACTGGGAGAGAACGAACTGTGTGAAGACAATATTTCTTGGATCCTAGGATGATATTTTAAATATCTGCTTCAAAGGTATTTATTTATTTACTTTTAATTGAAGTATAGTTGATTAACAATCTTATATTAGTTTCAAGTGTACAACATAGATGTACAGATTATACTCCATTTAAAGTTATTGCAAACAAATGGCTATATTTGCCTGTGCCATAAAATACATCCTTGTTGCTTACAAAAGCATTTTTTTAATCTACATGAGTTTTATTAAAAACATTGGCCATTATAAAATTGGCCACGTAGTGGAAAGTAAGAAAAAAAATGAATATTTTAATTTATGCATGGAGAAGCCCTTATGTTTACATTCTCAGTCTACCAAACTGTAGATTTAATACAAAAAATTTAGGACAGGGACTTCCCTGGTGGCACAGTGGTCAAGAATCCACCTGCCAATGCAGGGGACACGGGTTTGAGCCCTGGTCTGGGGAGATCCCACATGCCGCGGAACAACTAAGCCCGTGAGCCCCAACTACTGAGCCTGTGCTCTAGAGCCCGCCAGCCACAACTACTGAGCCCGTGTGCCACAACTACTGAAGCCCACTTGCCTAGAGCCTGAGCTCCACAACGAGAAGCCACCACAGTGAGAAGCTCGCACACCACAATGAAGAGTAGCCCCCACTCGCAGCAACTAGAGGAAAGCCTTCGCACAGCAACAAACGCCCAACGCAGCCAAAAATAAATAAATTTAAAAAAAAACCCTTAGGGCAGTGTTCCACCTTACAGCTGCTTAGGAGTAATTAGATATTAGAAGAGGGAAACTAGAGGGCTACTGGGGAGAGATACTGAGAGTGATAGCTGACAGGCCAGGCTCTAATCTCCTGTAATATTTGACTTCAAATTCTAATCATATGTTAAATCTTTGTCCTCCTTACCAGGTTCCAAGCTTGCAAGGCAGAGATTCACTAAAAGCATTTTAATTGCTGCCAAATTTTTCATTTAAAAAGGAAATCTTTCTTCAAAATTTGTTTTCAATAGCATTTAAGTACATGAAGTTTCTATCTCCTGGAATTTTTTCTATCATTACGTTTGCTCTGATTAGAGGGCTTTTGATAACTACAATCAGTTTCCATCCTGAGCCCTAGGTCAAAATACCAACTCTTGCAGCACCTTCCCAGAGGCCTCTAAACTCACCCTTCATGGAATTCACTGGCATGTGTAAGGGATAATTTTAATCCATGACTCTTATCTTCTTGGGGACTACAGGCTTATTCTGTGCATCAGGCTGCAGGGATTTAGGCCATCTATTTCATTTCTATTTTTGCAACATCTTTGCTTACCCTGGGGCCAAGCACAAATCCTTTTCTACCTTATCACTGAGTAAAGGCTCAGCAATGAACAAAGGAACAAACAAGCCATGTTTCCCAATGATAGCTTGGTCTCTGGTAGCCAGACAAGGCCCACATGATGACTTATTGGTTGCAGCTGACCTTCTCCTGAGTTAAAAATTTTTTATCTGTCTCATATTTCTAAGAACCACAGTAGTAATGCACTTGTATTTGCAGCTTGAAGAAACACAAAATAGACATAGATTTTAATTTTCATTTGTCTATAAAAATCAATATTTATTTTAGGTTAGTCATTCTTATATGCATATGAATATATATGCTTACCAAGTGGAAATAAAGAAAAAAACTGATGGATCTTAGTCCAAAAAGTGCTACTCCTATTTTCATTTTATATCTAAAAATCAATAATATTTTCAGTGCTCTAGATACTTGATATTTAAATAGAAAATTGAGGTCACGTCATTATGACAATATTGGTCTTTTTAAACAATAACATTTGTCATATATTAGAAAATTCTTGTCCTTTTGAAATGTAAGCTAAGACTAAGTTGGATTAAAGGGAGAATGTGAAGAAGTAGGAAAACCAATGAGAGTTGAAGTAGTAATGGTCTAAAAGGCAGGAAAAAAGAATTTATTAACTGGGGTAGAAGGGTGGCAATGGGGAAGAAAAACGGTAAAACCTCCCCAAGTATGCCAATTAATAATTACCTTTTCTGAAATTAAACTGATTTTACTTTGAAGCCCTTGGAATTCGTTGGTTTCCATTTTCAGTAACTGGTATTGGTTTTCCACCTTTGCAAACTTTTCCGACTGCTGAAATACAAACCTGAAAAAGGGAAAAAAAAATCACTACTTCCTAACTCAAACCCATTTAAGTTCAGATGTTAAAGCAGTATTTTATGCCCACTTCTGGTAAGGACAACATAAATTCTGGTATAGGTAGTGGCAGCTTTTATAAGAAGTGAGGAGTGAGTACGCAGTCCAGTGGTTCAACAGCTTCACTGCATATTGGAGTCGCCTGGCAGCTTTACTTTTTAAATTTTTAAAATTAATTTATTTATATTTTTGGCTGCGTTGGGTCTTCGTTGCTTCACCCGGGCTTTCTCTAGTTGCGGCGAGCGGGGGCTACTCTTCGTTGCGGTGCGCGGGCTTTCTCTAGTTGCGGTGCGCAGGTTTCTCATTGCCGTGGCTTCTCTTGTTGTGGAGCACGGGCTTTAGGCACACGGGCTTCAGTAGTTGTGGCACGCAGGCTCAGTAGTTGTGGCGCACGGGCTTAGTTGCTCCGCGGCGTGTGGGATCTTCCTGGATCGGGGCACAACCCGTGTACCCTGCACTGGCAGGCGGATTCTTAACCACTGCGCCACCAGGGAAACCCTCATCTGGCAGCTTTAAAAAAGTGTAATGCCTGGGTCTTACCACAGAAATTCTGACTTAATTGGTTTGGGATGTGACTTAGATATTGTAAATTTTCAAATCTCCTAGCCAAGATGACAACGACAAGTTGACACTTTATTGTAAAAATGACTTCCACTGAAAGACAAACATTTAAAGATTCAAAACTCAATGGAGAGGTGACTGAATCAAACTCATAAATATCATTAGCTAACTGTTGTTTATAAAACTGTCCAAAACTAAAATGGAGTTTTTGCATTTTAAACAAATGTTTACAATGTCGGATGAAATAAATTTCTTTTGATGATGGCTAATGTTTATTCTATGAGATAACAGTGAATTAAGTAAGCCCAGGTTACATAATTAGTACAGATTGACTTCTCCTGTGTGTTACTATGAACTTTTAAACAAAACTTCTCGTTATTAGAAAACACTATTATCCTAATTTCAAAGAAGGATGTGTAGACAATTCTTTTCTGATTGGTTATTTCATTCTTGGCTTTTAGGGACCAGCAGACAGAGATGAAGGAGAAAGACAGTCTAAAGAAATGTCTAATTTCAGGAACTAGTTTTATCATCCATTACTCCAGTGTTAACCTCATGGATTTATCCTACAGATCAGTGTGTTCATTTAGAATAAAATCATTATTATAAGAGGGATTTCTTATGAAGGTTGATCCACAAAAATTCATTACAGGACTTTCTGTTTTATTTAATCTTTTTAATGTTATCTCCACACTTCTCTTCAAAATTCAAATATTAAGCAAAAGCTTGAAGAAAACTGTATCATATTAGTGACCATCTCTGATGATAATTTGTAGAGTTTTTTTCATGGTTAGCTTCTCACCAAAATAAAAAAATAAAATTCACTATTTCTATATATGAATAGTGCATAAAAGAAAAAACAAGTATAAAGTTTACTTAGTGCTAGTAATGAAAATAACCAACAGTGGTCTGTATGATGCTGAGTTAAAATACATTTGTTTTATTTTCACTTAGAAGTGCCAGACACTATTCTAAGTGCATTATAAATATTAACTCATTTAACATTAAGGGAGAGACTGATTTTTCTAGAAGCCAAAAATGTACACTAGAGAAGGTGGTTTCAATTGTGAAACACTAATTTTTGAAACTGGCATCCAGATTATGCCCAAGGTGCTTTGTTTCCTTTTTATGAGTCAGAGGCATTTTCTAACAGGAGCAGTTCAAGACCTCCTTACTCCCTATCTTCCTTCGTTTAGATGAGACAACAATTAGGGTCTGCTAAGGGCTACAGCTTCTAGGAAAAGAAAGGATTATAAACAATTCTGGACTAGGGATTTCTATTTCTAGGGTCTTGGCCTCTTTTTGGATTAATATCAAAGGTAGACAGCATATCATACTGGTTGAATGTGAAGCTAGGCAACTTTGGCTCTGCCATTTACTAGCTGTACAAGCACCTTGGGCAAGTTATTTAACTTACCTTTGCTAGTTTCCTCATCTGCAAAGTGGGGATAAAACTACTTAGTTCATAGGGTGTTGTAGAGATTAAAGAGGTTCATATTAATAAAGCTCTTAAAGTGCCTTGAACATAAAACATCAACTATTCTCTTTACGTACCTTGGCCCTTTCTTTTGAATTGCTTTGCACAGCTGCTTTTCCCATCCCTCTGACAAGCCTAGAGTGGTAAAATGGATCAGGGCTCCCTTCTACTTAACACTTGCTAGAAGCCCCAGGCCTGTCACACTTTGAACCAGGGTTGGGTTTATAGCAAAGGATGAAGTGAATAGATGAGACCCATTAATAGGAAAAGAAGCATTCTCTTACCCTGTTTTGGGGCCTCTTTTCACTATCATAGGTAAAGATCTTGAAGGTATGGATGTAGGAGAAAAGCACCCAGATTAATTGGCCACCTTAGTGTAGGCTTTACAAAGGGAACCTTCCTGACTTCTTCATAATCCATTGCAGTTTACAGAGAACTCATAGATTCAGGGCCCTGTAGGAATAAACCATGCAGTTCCTTGGAGTCTTGTCTCTGTATAGCTCCTTTAGGAGGCCTAGATGTCAGACAGCTGATGGAGGATTTATATATACAGGATTTTTCTTTGGCTCTGTTTCAACTTAGTAACGAGAAAGAGTCAGTATCCATTTAGCTGTATGTTTCATACAGCAACTTCATTTTCAGCATAATACTGAAAGTTCAGGAACACACAGACCATATTCCATTTTTAAAAATCAAGGTAATTAAAGGATAACTGTCTTTCAGATTAAACTCCACTAACAACAAAAGCTGAAAAATGGGGTTAGCCAAGATTTTACTGTATAAACGATTTATAGAGAAAGTTGTATTAGATAGAGAAAAAAAACCCCCTGAATTATCTGATGGTTGAAAGAGCTTTTGACTTCTGATACATAATTATCACAAATGCTATGACAAACTTTTATAAAGGCAATTAAAAAATCTGTTGAAATTTCCAGAAGAAACTTAAAAGTTTTACAGTGAACTTCTAGTTGACTAGAAGTTCTAGTTATTTCTATGTAATAAGATTTTAAGGTTTTGTCTTGTTTAGTACCTTCATAACTTTAAAAAACTTTTTGAAAGCAGAATATCTTCAATCTCTTACGTGGAAAATTTCCTTAAAGAGTTTATAAATGACGTATGCAAACCAACACTCAGGCCCTATAGTTCTGGGCAACTGTTATCTCCAACATCTTATTGTCAGGCTGACAGAAGATGATTATCAGGACTTTGGTTAATAGAGAGATGTTCAAGTACCACCATTTTGTTGCATTATCTCTGTTTATTTTCCAAACAAGGATCCAAAGACTAATGGTTTGAAGATACTGAAATAGTGATGCCTTGAAATCAACCTCGGACAGTGCAAGGGTTCAAATCTCTGCCCTAACTTAATCAGACAAAATTAGAGTACTCCTAAGCTGTATTTAGGCACATATATTCGATTTTGTATTTTAACAACCAGAACAGTGTCAGTACAATAGCATGCAATAAAGATTTGATAGACCAATCTTTAGGTGCTAATCCTAGTGGTAAAAATGTCAGTGCCTTAGTTATAATTCCAGTGGGCTGAGATGCTAAATGTTTGCAATTTCTTTTTTTTTGCGGTACACGGGCCTCTCACTGTTGTGGCCTCTCCCGTTGCGGAGCACACGCTCTGGACGCGCAGGCTCAGCGGCCATGGCTCACGGGCCCAGCCGCTCCGCGGCATGTGAGATCTTCCCGGACCAGGGCACGAACCCGCATCCCCTACATCGGCAGGCGGACTCTCAACCACTGCGCCACCAGGGAAGCCCAATGTTTGCATTTTATTTACCACGAATACATATGTGCTATTGTGCTATTGCCACGAATACATATGTGCTATTGTGACAAAAGTATTTATACTTCAGCTCTTGTCGTAAAAGATTTCACAAGAGCAATTAACAGTCATTTAATAACAATCATTGAATCTGCCCATTTTAGAAATAATCTTTGAGCATTGTTTTATTATTTTGCAAAGACATAGTTCAAATAAAATCTTCCTACTTGAATATAACTTGTTTGTATCTTTACTGCAGGCACTAACAGTAAATTCCTGAGCTGAAGTGTCTGCTTTTCAACAGTTGTTTTCCTTTATAGATTACTGTTAGTGTGTTTTCCCAGGACAGTAACTAAATTATTGAAAAGTTGAGCATTTTCTGATGTAATTTATCTCATATGAATATGAATCTTTGGATGAGAATTAACAAATTCAGTAACTAAAACCAGTTGTATTAGGTTCTAGAAAGAAGCAACATATATATTTTAGCCTACTAAGTTCTAGTACTGAATAACTTTCCCAGCACAAAGTTTTTTTTTGTTTTTTTGTTTTTGTTTTTTTTTGCCGTAAGCGGGCCTCTCACTGTTGTGGCCTCTCCCGTTGCGGGGCACAGGCTCCGGACGCGCAGGCTCAGTGGCCATGCGGCATGTGGGATCTTCCCGGACCGGGGCACGAACCCGTGTCCCCTGCATCGGCAGGTGGACTCTCAACCACTGCGCCACCAGGGAAGCCCAGCACAAAGTTTTTGATTTACCTGAAGAAGGTCATGCAATATAAGACATAAAAGCAGTTTATTTAAAACAGTAAGTTCTGTACATTTATTCTTTTAAGATCAAAATATTCCATAAACAAATATATTAGTAAAATAACAATTTATCTCTTTTTGGAGAGAATATTTAATAATCAACATTTCACTTTATTGTAACAAATCTTTTATTGACTGACTGACTGAAGATGAGTCATCAGTAAAGTATACTTCAAAATTTACTAGCATCAAAAATGTTCTAGGCCTTCCCTGCTGGCGCAGTCGTTAAGAATCCACCTGCCAATGCAGGGGACACACGGGTTCGAGCCCTGGTCTGGCAAGATCCCACATGCCGCGGAGCAACTAAGCCCGTGAGCCACAACTCCTGAGCCTGCGCTCTAGAGCCCGCGAGCCACAACTACTGAGCCCGCATGCCGCAACTACTGAAGCCCGTGTGCCTAAAGCCCGTGCTCCACAACAAGAGAAGCCACGGCAATGAGAAGCCCGCGCACCACAATGAAGAGTAGCCCCCGCTCACCGCAACTAGAGAAAGCCTGCGCAGTAACGAAGACCCAACGCAGCCAAAAAAAGGAAAAAATGTTCTAGATGAGAGGACATCCAGGGTTGCTTCTAGAATCCAATTATTCTTGAAGATAAAGAGCTATCTTCTAAATACTTCAAAAATCAGTGAAAATGGAGGGGAACTCTAAAGAGTCAGTCTTGTTATTAAAACGAAATAGGTTAATCCTAAAGAATATGATTGAGGAAAACAAAGTAAGTTGGTTTTAAGGTTATTTCTTAATATTCATCTTTCCTATGACATCAATATATCGCTATTTGCTTGGTTTAAAAACTGTAAGTTTTTAGTTTCAGGTGAACAAAAATGTTATACTAAAACTCAGTCTGTAACTTAGGAACAGACTTAACGCATGCACAATAACCAAAATATGAGCTATCTTCCAAAACTTTATATTATCATGCACGTTTGTTGCTTTAAGATCATAATGAATTCTTTTAAGGTTGCAAACGTTGCCACTAGGCATTTATGGGGGTGGGGCAAATTTGTCCCAAATGCACAGCGGACAGGAAGTAACGGGTTCTAAAAACGGGAAAGCTTCTGTCCTGTACAGGCGCTTAATGAAATTTGGCCGAATCTGCATTTCTTAATGGTTGACGTTCCCAAACCTTGGCCTCAGTTCCAGCTGGGCGATCGAGGCACGCCAGCAGTACAAAAGCAAAATAAATTACGAGAAACGAGCGAAAGTTAAAGGTTGGGCCGTCCCTTCCTTGGGGTCGATGCTGAGGAACAGAAGCCACGAGCGTGGCGGCTAGAGGTTAGCGGGACGCCGAGCCGGGCGGGGCCGGGGCAGACGCGGGACCCAGAGAAGAGAGGGCGACCACGGGAGGCCGGACCCCCGGGCGGCCTCGAACCACTTACCAGGCCAGGCCCAGACACGTCCCCAGCGACAGAAGGCTCAAGCCGGTTCGGGGATCCGCCCAGCCCCCGCCTCCACCGCCCCGACCCTCGAGGCTCTTCCCGCCCTCGCTTCGCTTCCCAGGCTCCGCTGGGGCTCCCTTGGGCGCCGACCTCTTCCGGCTCTTCCCCTCAGACATGTCTGGAGGTCCTGAGGATGACAAACCCGGGGCTGCCTCTTCACCCTGGGGTAGCGGGACGTGGCCTCCTCAGCCTCCGCGGGAAGGCTCGGCGGTGACCGCGCCCCGTTTCAGGCTTGGCACCGCCCAGAAACCAGCCCCCTTCCTCTCCCAGCCATCCTCCCTGCTCCACAGCGTCTCCCAGCCACCCGCTTTCTAGTTCCTCCAGCTGGGGTAGGCGGCAATCCTACTTCCCCAAACTTCTGCGTTAACGCTGCAAAAGCGAGGAAACCGTGTGAGTCACCCAGGCGTCTGCAAGCCGCCGGGACGCAG